GTCATTTTGCTGATTTGGATGCCTATATGTGTAGCGCTTCATCTTGTGATACTTCGGTGATCATTCCCCTAGTGTAGATGTCATCAAACTTGTCAATTTGCTGATTTGGGTGCTGGGTTGTGAAGCGCTTCATCTTGGGATACTTCGGTGATCATTCCCCTGATGTAGATGTCATCAAACTCGTCATTTTGCTGATTTGGATGCCCATGTGTGTTGTGCTTCATCCTAGGATACTTTGGTGATCATTCCCCTAGTGTAGATGTCATCAATCTTGTCATTTTGTTGATTTGGATGCCTATGTGTGTAGCGCTTCATCTTGTGATATTTCGATGATCATTCCCCTAGTGTAGATGTCATCAAACTTGTCATTTTGCTGATTGGGATGCCTATGTGTGTTGCGCTTCATTTTATGGTACTTCGGTGATCATTCCCCTAGTGTAGATGTCATCAATCTTGTCATTTTGCTGATTTGGATGCCTGTGTGTGTAGCGCTTCATCTCGGTGATCATTCCTCTAGTGCAGATGTCATCAAACTTGTCATTTTGTTGATTAGGATGCCTATGTGTGTTGCGCTTCATCCTAGGATACTTCGGTGATCATTCCCCAAGTGTAGATGTCATCAAACCTGTCATTGTGCTGATTTGGATGCCTATGTGTGTTGCGCTTCATCTTGTGAAACTTCAGTGTTCATTCCCCTAGTCTAGATGTCATCAAACTTGTCATTTTGCTGATTTGGGTGCTTGGGGGTGTAGCGCTTCATCTTGTGATACTTCGGTGGTCATTCCCCTGACCTAGATGTCATCAAACTTGTCATTTTGCTGATTGAGTGCTTGGGGGTGTAGTGCTACATCTTGTGATACTTCGGTGAACCTCCCACTAGTTCAGATGCTCTCAAAACTTGTGATTGTGCGGATCTTGATGTATGTGTGGGCTGTGATTTACCTTGGGATACTTCGGTGAACCTTTCACCAGTTCAGATGCTCTCAAAACTTGTGTTTGTGAGGGGCTTGATGTATGTGTGGGTTGCGATTTACCTTAGGATACTTCGGTGCACCTTCCACTAGTTCAGATGCTCTCAAACTTGTGTTTGTGCTGCTCTTGATGTATGTGTGAGTTGCGAGTTACCTTGAGATACTTCGGTGAACCTTCCACTAGATCAGATGCTCTCAAACTTGTGTTTGTACGGATCTTGATGCGTGGGCAAGTTGCGATTTGCCTCGGGATATTTCGGTGAACTTTCCACTAGGATAGACACTTCCAAGCTTGTCAATTGACGCTAGTTAGTGTGTATGTATATGTGTTGCAGTCCCTGGTAACCTGTTCAGTCCACCCCTACCCCTTGCTGTAACGTGTGACTCCCGGTATGTGTATGTGTCTGTGTGGCAGTTCCCGGTGACTTGTTCAGTCCATCCTCACCCCTTGCTGTAACCTGTGACACCCGGAATGTGTATGTATGAGTGTTGCAGTCCCCGATGACCTGTTCAGTCCACCCTTACCCATTGCTGTAACCGGTGACTCCCGGTATGTGTATGTATGTGTGTTGCAGTCGCCGATAACCTGTTCAGTCCACCCCTACCCCTTGCTGTAACCTGTGACTCCCGGTATAAGTATGTGTGTGTGTGGCAGTTCCCGGTGACCTGTTCAGTCCACCCTTACCCCTTGTTGTAACCGGTGACTCCCGGTATGTGTATGTATGTGTGTTGCAGCCCCCGGTAACCTGTTCAATCCACCCTCACCCCTTGCTGTAACCAATGACTCCCGGTATGTGTATGTGTGTATGTGGCAGTTCCCGGTGACCTGTTCAGTCTACCCTTACGGGCCTTACCCCTGGCTGCAACCGGTGACACCCGGAATGTGTGAGTGTGTGTGTTGCAGTCCCCGGTAACGTGTTCAGCCCATCCTCACCCTTTGCTGCAACTGGTGACCTGCGGTATGTGTAGGTGTTTGTGTTGCAACCCCGGTAGCCCCGTACAGACTTCCTCTTTTACGTGGCCGGGCGCCCGGGTAGAAACGGGGGGGCACGGGGTTAAGAATTAGGTTGCGTCCAACAAGCTTTCCCATTCGCCCAGACCCATCCACCATAACCGACCACCCCCAACCCTTCTTCCACCTCCATCACCTACACACATCCGCCATAGCCAACCACCCCCAACCCTTCTTCCACCTCCATCACCTACACCCATCCACCATAGCCAACCACCCCCAACCCTTCTTCCACCTCCATCACCTACACCCATCCACCATAGCCTACCACCCCCAACCCCTCTTCCACCCCCATCGCCCACACCCGTCCACCGTAGCCGACCACTCCCAACCCTTCTCCCACCTCCATCACCTACACCCATCCACCATAGCCGACCACCCCGAACCCTTCTTCCACCTCCATCACCTACACCCATCCACCATAGGCGACCACCCCCAACCCTTCTTCCACCTCCATCACCTACACCCATCCACCATAGCCAACTACCCCCAACCCTTCTCCCACCTCCATCACCTACACCCATCCGCCATAGCCGACCACTCCCAACCCTTCTTCCACCTCCATCACCTACAATCCACCATAGACAACCACCCCCATCCCTGTTCCCACCTCCATCACCTATACCCATCCACCATAGCCGACCACCCCCAACCCTTCTTCCACCTCCATCACCTACACCCGTCCACCATAGCCGACCACCCCCAACACTTCGTCCACCTCATTTACTGTTACATCTTCCACGCACACGGGTCCTACCGGACCCGACTTAGGGCCGGAGGGACACATCAGGGCCTAAGGGCCCGACCTTGGGGTAGTACAGGCCCTCAGGGCCTGATCTTGGACCAGTACCCGACGGGCAGGCCCAAACGGCATTATCGCTTGGGCCTGGCGGCGCTCTTGAGGCTGCCGCCCGCCGGTTGGGGCTGAACCGTCCATCTTGACGGTTCAGGGCATGGCCAGGCCTCGCAGCATTGAGGCCGGCCTCTGCCCCACCGGTATAGAGTACCGGTACAGCCTCACTTGGAGGCATCGACCTACCGGCACTATACCGGTACGGTATGGTCAGCGCCAGAGCG